CAGAGCCAGCCCCTCAGCTGAGACAAATGGACAGATGGTTCTGATCTCCAGTGGTGAGTGCTGTTACAGAGAAGTATATAGAAAAAAGGACCTGGGCCGAGTGCCGTGGCTGATGCCTGTAATCCCAACACTTTGGGAGGCTGAGGCGGGTGGATCTCTTGAGGCCAGGAGTTTGAGACCAGCCTGGCCAACATGACAAAACCCCATCTCTATTAAAAATACAAAAATTAGCCAGCATGGTGGTGCCTTCCTGTAATCCCAGCTCCTTGGGTGGCAGAGGCATAAGAATTGCTTGAACCCGGGAAGCAGAGGTTGCAGTGAGTTGAGATCACACCACTGCACTCCAGCCTGAGTGACAAAGCAAGACAGAGGAGACAGAGAGGGAGAGAGAGGGGGAGAGAGAGAGAGAGAGAGAGAGAGACCTAATCCAGTGGGATTCAGGCTGTCACCCCTGTATTTGTCAGGACTCCTGGTCACATGTTTCAGACACCCACGCTAGCTAAAGCCAAGAAAGAATATTTATTGGCTCAGGAAACTTGGAAGACCAGGGCTAACAGCTTCAGGTGTGGCTGGATCCAGCAACTCAGATGTTGTCATTTGGTATCTCTCTGCACAGCTTCTTTCTTTGCCTCAGTTTTATGCACTTCTGCTTTAGTGAAGCTGCTTTCACTGGATAAGGGGAGGAATTAGATATGACCCCCACCACCCTCCCCGCCACCGATTTTAGTCATCTCAGCCAGTAATCCCAAAGGCAGGAGAGAGCTCCTCCCTCCCAGTATAACAAAATTCCAGGGAAAGGCTCTGATTGGCCTAATGTGGGTCATAGCCCATCCCCTTGGACCAATCATTATGACCATGGCCAAGCCTGGGTTGCATGCCTTCTGCCATGGCTGGGAGTGGAACAGGATGCTGTGATGGGCTCCACCAGAATGACAAGGACTAGAGAAGAGGCAGTTCCCCCAAGGAAAGGGGAAGTGACATGTAAGATGAGCTTGGAAGAAGGAGTTAGCCAGATAGATAAGTGGAAACAGACTTCCAGGACACAGCGGCTGGAACAAAGCCCAGGGAGGAGAGAAGAGCTGCTCATGCAGAGGACTACATGTGGTTGAGTATGGCCAGAGCAAGGGTGGTAGGAGGGGATGAGCCAAGAGGAAGCAGGGAAGGCTGCAACTACAGGCTAAAGGGCCAACCCCAAACAGAAAGCAATGGGGCACCATGGCAGGATTTCACGTAAGGTCATGACACCCATCTATCCTAGAGCAGTGAGGGAATGGAGCCAAACTGGAGGCAAAGAAACCAGGGCAAGAGACCAGGCAGTGTATGTGGTCATCCAGTTGAGAAACTGTGAAGTCCCAGGATGCAGGCAGCAGTGATGGGAGTGGAGAGGAGGGACAGGAACGGGTTCCAGGGCAGGACCAGGATGCAGAACACACGGACTGAGCATACACCAAGTGCCTAGGTCTCTGCCTGTGCAAGGCTTACTTTGATTCCGGCTCTGTAAGGGCATAATGAGAGTTGCGTGGACCAGGAGAGGAGGGGTCTGATACAGAGGATGAAGAGAAATTTGACAGAAGTAAGCTGGAAAGGGTATACCAGGTTGGAGGACTGGCACAAGCAAAGACCCCAGTGTAGGGCCTGGCTCTAGTATACATTTGGGAATAAGCAAGCAGTGAAGGTGAGTGGAAGGCCAAGCCCACAGAACAGAACGAGTTTAAATGAAGCCGGGCAGGAGGCTGAAAAGAAGGTTGTGGAGAGTAAGGTGTCTGCCTTTACTTCTGTGTTAGAGAACATAGGAGGTCTCTGCCTGTCAGATCTCTCCCCTTTCAAAGGTCTCTGTTGTCAGATCTCTTCCCCTTTCAAAAGTGGGGCTGGGGCCAGGCACAGTGGCTCACACCTATAATCCCAGCACTTTGGCAGGCCGAGGCAGGTGGATCACCTGAGGTCAGGAGTTCGAGACCATTGTGGCCAAATTGGTGAAACCGCGTCTCTACCGAAAATGCAAAAATGAGTCGGGCGTGGTGGTGGGCACCTGTAATCCCAGTTACTCAGGAGGCTGAGGCTGGAGAATCACTTGAATCCGGGAGCTGGAGGTTACAGTGCACCAAGATTGCGTCACTGCACCCCAGCCTGAGTGACACAGCCAGACTCCGTCTCAAAGAAACAAAAAATACAAACACAAACAAACAAACAAAAACCGGTGGGGCCAGGGCACAGCAAGAGGCCATGACATTGTCCAGGTGAGAAGGGGTAAAAACTGGAGCCCAGGGCTTGGCAAGAGACGATGAAGAGAAGAAACATTTGCAGATGTAGAACCTTCAGGAGTTAAATGTAGAAGATGAGAAAAAAGAGGCAGTAAAAAGTGCCTTAAAGGGGTGGGTACAAAGGGGATAGTGGTTTAATTGACGAAACCCAGAAGTCAAGCAGAGGACACTGTTTGAGAACACAGCTGACTTTGTGATGAGTCTTTATGTAAGATGGGTGGGGATTTGTTGCTTAGAAGCTTCTTATTTATTTATGTATTTATGTATTTATTTATTCTTGAGGTGAAGTCCCACTCTGACACCCAGACTGGAGTGCAATGGCACGATCTCAGCTCATCGCAATCTCTGTCACCCGGGCTCAAGCGATTCTCCTGCCTCACCTCCTGAGTAGGTGGGATTGCAGGTGCCTGGCACCACACCTGGCTAATTTTTGTATTTTCAGTAGAGACGGGGTTTCACCATTTGGACAGGCTGGTCTTGAACTCCTGACCTCAAGTGATCCGCCCGCCTTGGCCTCCCAAACTGCTGGGATTACAGGCATGAGCCACTGTGCCCAGTCAAGAAGCTTCTTATTTTTTACCCATCAATCGCTATAGGCCCAGTGCGGTGGCTCACACTTGTAATCCCAGCACTTTGGGAGGCTGAGGCAGGAGGATCACTTGAGATCAGGAGTTCGAGACCCTGCCTCTACAACAATTTAAAAAAAAAAAAAATGAGCCAGGCGTGATGGCATGCGCCTGTCATCCCAGCTACTGTGAAGGCTGAGTTAGGAGAATCGCTGGAGCCCAGGAGGTTCAGGCTACAGTGAGCTGTGACTGCACCACTGCACTCTAGCCTGGGCTACAGAGTGAGACCCTGTCTTGAGGGCTGGGGAGGCAGAAGATAAAAAAGAGAGAGAGCGAAAGATCTTGTCAAACACACACACACACACACACACACACACACACACACACAACCACCCACAAAACCACAAAAACAACTCTGGGCCATTCTGGATGGGACTGATGCATGTGGAGGAATAGAAAAGAAAAAGGAAAACAGCGATAGCTCAATTGACCAGGGGCCTCTTTGACTGATCCAAATAGGTTCTTTTCAGGAGTCTAAAATGCAAACACAACACACCCCTAAAACTTACCTGATTCTCTTTTGAGAGCTGAGATGGGAGGATTGCTTGAGTCCAGGAGTTCAAAACCAGCCTGGACAGCATAGTGAGATCCCTGTCTCTACAAAATATAAAAAGTTAGCCAGGCATGGTGGTGCGCACCTGTAGTCTCAACTATTTGTGAGGCTGAGGCAGGAGGATCACTGGAGCCTGAGGGATCAAGGCTGCAGTGAGCCATCCATGACTGAGCCATCCATGATCGTGCCATTGTGCCTCTGCACTCCAGCCTGGGTGACAGAGTGAACCCCTGTCTTAAAAAAACAAAAGCAAAAAACCCGACCCGATTCTTGTCACGGCATGTCCATTTGCAAACTGTGCAGCCTGAGGGGCAGCCTAGGCCAAAGAACAGGACAAAATCTGGGATCCCCTGCAGGAGAGTTTGGTTTCCACCAAGCTTTACCTGGGTTTATCTATTTATTAAAGCCAAGGCTGACGACTGCTTCTTGCTGCTGTTTATTAATAACCATTCCCAACACAGGCTCCTCCGGGGCAGCCGGGGAAGCCAGTCCCAGGGCACAGGCTGGCATCACGCTCCGCCTCTGAGGGGCCCCAGGCAGTCTGAGGCAGCCCTGGGGACATGAGTGCTTCCTTTCCCAGCCCCTTCCCTGGAAAGTGAACCCCATCGTGGCTTCCTCTCCCAGTCTTGGGGCTGCCGGGCTCAGCTTCGGTGGGGGCAGAGGACACAGAGGATGGACATCAGAATCGGGAGGTGCTCCAACATCCTCCAGGAAACTGAGGCCCCAGGGAGGCAGGAAAAACCAGCTCCAGGTGGCTGGGCGAGTTGGAGGCAGAGCTGGGACCCAAATCCCGTTTTCCCAGGGCCTCCTGAGGACAGGAAACTTTTCCCTGTGTTCCCTGGGAGTGCAACCGTTGTTATTGTCGCCAAGAATGGAGGCGGTAGCGTCAGACGTAGACTTGCTTGCACAGTATTGTGGCTCTTCCAGCAGCAGGCGGGGAGCCAGCAGGGCACACGGACCCAGTCATCGTGACCTAGATTCTGGGTTCAGGGGTAGAGACTTGTTTGCTAGTGGGGTGCACTGAGTCAGGCTCTTCTGTAGCACGCCCCAGGTAATAGAGGTGCTCGCTCCATACCACTGGGCGGTGGCCTGAGCACAGGGACAACTTTTTACCACCCATGCCAATGCGCAGTGGGTGCAGACACCCACACCAGAGGCACCTGTGGCTATGCACGCGGCGCGCATGGAAACCCGAGGCTGCCAGCCGCCGCTCTGGAGACCCCAGAGACAGGCAGACGGGCGGGCTACAGATGCGTGTGCCCCAAGGGGCGGCGGGGCGCGCCCTAAAGGGCAGTGGCACGGGGTCGCGCCGCGAGCCGAGGGGCGCTGGCGGGCGCGCAGGAGTTAGCGAACCGACGCGGAGGCGCCAGGCGGACGCACGGACGCACGGAGGGCCGTAGGGCCTCACAGCCGGGCACACATCGTCGCGCAGCGGCGCAGGATCGGGGGCCTCCCGGGTGGAGGCGGCCTACTCTCGCCCTCAGCGCGGGGAGGGGCGGGCGCCGGGGGCGGGGCGGCGCCGTCCGGGCCCTCCCCCCGCCCCGCCTCCGGTCAGCGTCCTTGGCCGCTGGCGCGTTGTTGGTTTCGGGTTGTCAGGCAGCGGGCGAGGCTGCGGACAGCGAGCAGCGGGCGGACGCGACCCGGCGGCGGTGGGGGTGCGGCTGGGCCATGCCTGGTGGCGCGGCCTGAGCCCCTCCATCTGCTGCAAGCATGAAGGACAGCGGGGACTCCAAGGACCAGCAACTTATGGTGAGACCCTTTCAGACCCTCCTCCCCACCCCGCTCCGTGGTCTACTTCAGTCGGCCTCCAGCAGACAGAGAGTCCTGTCCCCTCGCCGCCACCCCACTGAGAGGGCAGGCAACGGCCAGGGCCGGGACTCTTCACAGCAACTTTCCCCAAGTCCTGCAGGATGGGTGTCAGGAAGGCACTAGGGCCTTTTTAGACTTTCCTGAGCCTGAAAATGACCCCAACTTCAACCCCACCCCCACCTTTCCACCCTCCCATTGGGGGATCCCGCCCCCAAAGCGTGTGCAGATGAATCTCTGTTCTGTCATTCAGAAACGCCAGGCGCAGGGAGGGCTTGACCTAACTGCCCCCAGACGGAAGGTGGGGGGTTCCCGGTTAAGCAGAGGCTGCCCCAGCCCTGGTGAGGTCAGGAGTTTAAAGGGGATCACCAGTAGGAAGACAAGGGCCCCTGGTATCAGGTTGGGGCCCGGAGTGCCTGGTTCTTGGGCTGCAACACAGATGCTGTCCAAGTCCGGACTCTAAATCTTTCAGAGAAGTGCTAGATGCAGCTGTGATGGTCCCAGAGCCCGGGGGCCTGGGACAGATGGGGAGGTGAGAGTGGGTCTGTGGAGGAGAAGGTCGAATTCCTGATTATCAGTGGTGCCCAAGCCGGAGCAACAAGGGGGATGACTCAGTGACCTTGAGGCCACCACTGACTGTGGGTGGGTAGGTGTCTCTCTCAGCAAGCCCCTTCCTCATCCCCTAATTTTTGAGATCTGGAGAAGGGCCCTCATCACTAGAAGGTGGACAGTAAGGTAACTGGAGGATAATGTTGCCCCCGGAGTCCCCTGTCTGTCAAGTGTGGGCTTGCTTCTCCAAAGAGGAGCCTCGGCTCCAGCCCCCACGCAAGCCCTGGGCTCTAGCACTTCCTCTCTGGCTGTTTAGAATGTGTCTCTTTGAAAATGGTTGGCCTTGGCGTGTGTTGTGTGCCCCTGGGAGCAGGGACGAAGGGTTCTCCCCTCCTGCCAGTGGGATTTGGCTGAAGAGGCCAATAAAGATGACCCCGTCAGGCAGTGTAGGTCCCTCTGAAAGTGACTTTTTTTTTTTGAGACAGAGTTTCACTTTCTCACCCAGGCTGGAGTGAAGTGGTGCGATCTCAGCTCACTGCAACCTCCACCCCCCAGGTTCAAGTGGTTCTCCTGCCTCAGCCTCCCGAGCAGCTGGGATAACAGGCATGCACCACCATGCCCAGCTAATTTTCGTATTTTTAGTAAAGACGGGGTTTCGCCATGTTGGCCAGGCTGGTCTCGAACTCCCTCAGGATCCGTCCGCCTCAGTCTCCCAAAATGCTGGGATTACAGGCATGAGCCATCACGCCAAGCCTGAAGGAGTCTTCACTCAGCCAGAGGGCCGTTCATTCTACCCCCACACCCAGCAGCTGTTTCCCTTTGATCAGCAGAACACATGTTTCCACTCTACCCCTTTCTTTAGGGAGATTCACGCACAGGATGAGACCCATTTCGCACTGGCTGGAGGACAGACAGAGGTGGGGGCTCTAGGTGACACTCTCCTCGGCGTAGGAATGTGGTCACAGGCTGTTAGGATGATGGGGGATGTTCCCTGCTCCATCGCACCTACCAGGCCTCATCCCAGAGCGGTGCCTGCACCTGCCCCTGCAGCACATCATTCACAGAAACACAGACAGGCTGCTCCAGTGCTGGGGCCCCAAGTTCAAGCCCAGGGGAGCTGCGAGTGTTTTATTTGGGCAGGAGGCTGAGGCAGGCTGGAGGAGCAGACAACTCTCTCCCCTGGGGCTCTCCCGGAGGCCAGGGCTCCTGGGGAGACTCATCAACTCAGACACAGTCCAACACTCTGTGGACCTGCTGTCCTCTGACCTAGGCAGAGTTTTCCTTAGGACAAAGCAGGCCTGAGATGGCTGAATGCTAGAGAAGCCAGGGGCTCTTGCCTGGGGTCTCTCTAAGGCCAGTATGGTCCTCTCCCTCTAATCCCAGGGGCTTGGTTTTCCCTCCCAGGTGGCACTTCGGGTCCGGCCCATCAGCGTGGCAGAGCTGGAGGAAGGAGCTACCCTCATCGCCCATAAAGTGGATGAGCAGGTATGCAGGGCGCTGCGGCAGGAGCTACAGTACAGAGGTCTGCTCAGATGGCTCAACTCACCTGGTGAGGGCAGAAAGGGCCCCTGTGGCTTGCAGCACCATCCTTCCTCTACTCCCTGAACTCTTGACTGTGCTATTGATGACACCACCCAGGAAGCTGGGGGCCCTTCTTCCAGGAAGCCTTCCTAGATAGATCCAAGGACAACTGGGAGCTTCCCTTACCTGGGTGGGCCCTGATCCTTTACCATTCATATGCCCATTGCTTGACTTTCCTACCCTAATATGCCTACTGCCCACAGAGCACATATGTATATGGTCGAGAGCTAAAACTCGCCCCTAGGGTGTTCACATGTGGCAAAATCCTTGGCTCTCTGTTTGCAATCTTGGTCCTCATGTCACCAGGATGAGGAAGGCGGGCACACAAGGCAATAATTGTTTATCAAGTACCAGCAGCATGCTGGGTACTGTGCTAGAAACTGGGAAACTGTGGTAAACAGAAAAGACCCTGTTCTGTCTCCATTACCTTAAGTCTAGTGTGGAGAGATGAGGCATTCATCAAAGAATTGCATCACAAACAAACATGAGTTTGCAGCTAACAAGGGCTGCAAAGAAATGCTTAGTGGCATGAGAATAGGTAAGAGGGGATAAGACGTAAGCCTGGAGGTCAGGGAGGGCTTCCTTAAGAAACTGGGCTTGACACTTTGGGAGGCCGAGGAGGCTGGATCACAAGGTCAAGAGATCAAGACCATCCTGACCAACATGGTAAAACCCCATCTCTACTAAAAATACAAAAAATTAGCTGGGCGTGGTGGCACGTGCCTGTAGTCCCAGCTACTCGGGAAGCTGAGGCAGGATAATCGCTTAAACCCAGGAGGTGGAGGTTGCAGTGAGCCGAGATCGCATCATTGTACTCCAACCTGGGCGACAGAGTGGGACTCTGTCTCAAAAAAAAAAAGAAAAAAGAAAAAAGAAAAAAAAAAAAGAAACTGTGCTTGAGCTGAAAACATAAAGGGTGAAGAAGAGGTCATTAGTAGCGTGCATGAGGGGAGAAATATTGACCTGAGGGGCTTGCATGTGCAAAGGGCCTGTGGCGAGAGGGACTGGGATGCAATTGGGTAGCTGAGAAAAGGCCAGTGTGGCTCAAGGAGGAGGGAAAGGGGCAAGAGGTGTAAATGGGCTGGGCCAAACCACATACCCTGTAGACCATGGCCAGGATGTTTGTTCGGGTAGGCAGTTGAGGACTCGTGCTGGGATGCGCACAGGCACAGTGGTGGGGGCACCAGGGGCGGGCTTGGTGCCCAGGTAGGAGCATCGTGGTGGTAGGCTGTGCTAATGGCTCAGAGAAGTTGGGTGGCACGGCACAATGCAGAGAAAGGCACACGGGAGCACCTGAGGCGCCTGGGCTCAGGTCCCATGGGCTGGACTCATGAAGTCCTGGGCCCAGGATAAGCAAACCAGAGGCGGATGGCACACTTCCAATGCCTGCTTGCCTCTGGGCTCCCCAGGGCGAGGGGCCCACTCAAGCCTCTTTCTTCAGCAGTGATAGTGGAACTGTGGGCACAGTAGAGCCATGGGTAGCGCGTCCTCATTTCTTTTCCCATACTCCTCCTTGGAAAAGGGTGGGCTTCCTCAAAGACCTTGGGGAAAGCAGGGGATGACTGGGAAGACCCTGTCTAAATGGGTCAGGCTCAACTGGAGCAGAATGAATGCACATCAACAGTGGTTTGAGGACTTCTGCCATTTGCCAGCTGTGCAGACTTGGGCGGGGGGGGAGGGGACGGGGTTGCTTCCAGGAGCTTCAGTTGCCTCATGTGTAAGTGGAGACAGACGTCATGATGCTTTCTTTAGAGGGTCTTTGTAGGCTAATGTATGCACTTGCTTACCCAGTGCTTGGCACGTAGGAAGAATTTCATAGATGTCATTTATCAACGTCTGTTAGAGACTGAAATTCCCCAGGGCTGCTGGATTGGCCCAGGAGAGGAGCCATAGAGTTCAGGAGGAGAAACCTCCTTCCAGGCAAAGCCACTCTGCTTGTCCAACTTGTCCCGAAGACATCAGGTCCTTGGGGTTGGGACAATGCTGACTCTCTTTCTGCTACTCCTGGCTCCTAGCCTGCATGGGGGCTGATAAATATTAACTGGTGCTGATGGAAACGCTCCCTGTCAAGGGGACAGCCCATTGTGTGCCCACACATGGCAAACACTGGTTCCTTTCTATCCCTGCGTGTGGAGCGGGAGGGGCTCCCTCTCTGGGTCTGGCCTAATCCAGCCAAGCTACGCCTCCACCTCCGAGAAGGCCTCCGAGCTGGGCGGTTCTAACAGGGCTGCTCCTTTGTCAGCTGGAGGTGCAGAGAGTCTTGTCTGTGTTGATACTGAGGAGGGCTCTCCATGCAAACTTCCTGCGGGCTTCTGGCCCTAAGCTCCTTCTGTCCCCAGTGGGTTCAAAGATTGGCTCACACCAGGGACCCAGCCCAGCCCTTCTAATGGAGGACTGCAGTTCAGGAGCAGTCATAACTACCAGGCTGGGACCCTCCTAATAACAAATGGACATGGACCCCCCTTACCCTTGACGCCGACCTGACCAGTCCCCCCACCTCCCGACCTTCACCCGACTCCAGTGGCTCTGTAGGTTGCCCACAGCCCTGGCCCACAGGGAGGCTCGGGGGTCCAGTCCTCATCAGCTTCACTGATGGGGCCAGCTGGCCAGTGGAAGCTCTATCATTCCTCCTAAGGCCTGGAGGCCCCATGGGCAAGTTGGTGTATTTGGGAGCTGAGCCAGGACATGTGCATCCTGAGTGGGGAGAGGTAGGCTGGGGATGCAGTAACCCACTGGGCTGGGCCACCATGAGGGGTCCTAGGACAGCCTTCTTTAGTCTGGGCATTGTTCTCCTGGGGACACTTCAAAGGAGGGAGATTGTGGCAATGAGGCTTGGCAGAAGGGGACATTCCCACAGACGGAGGGTCCTCTGGGATAGGAGCCCAGGGTGCTTGGATTCTGGGGAAGCTGGAGTTCAGATTTGGATTTTTTTTTTTTTTCCTTTTTTCTTGAGATGGAGTCTTGCTCTGTCACCCAGGCTGGAGTGCAGTGGTACGATCTTGGCTCACTGCAACCTCTGCCTCCCGGGTTCAAGCGATTCTCCTGCCTCAGCCTCCCATGTAGCTGGGATTACAGGCGTGTGCCACCATGCCCAGCTATTTTTTCTAATTTTAGTAGAGACGGGGTTTCGCTATGGTGACCATGCTGGTCTTGAACTCCTGACCTCAAGTTATCTACCCGCCCTGGCCTCCTAAACTATTGGGATTATAGGTGTGCACCACCTCGCCCAGCTGGTTTGGATTTTTAATGGGGATAGTCCAGGTGCCTTGGAAGGCCTGTGATTCCAGGGCCCCATTCAATTCCATTAGTCGTCACAACGCCTTCTTTAGAGGGTCCCTGTGGTTAACGTAGGCACAGTGCATAACACAGTGCCCGGCACGTGTCTACATAGGGGTTAATAAATGTGAATGTATCTCAAGGGCTGAAATATGGGATGGTTTCGGGTCCCAGAGGTAAACAAAACCTGGCCCTTGAGCCTTCCTGCTCCCTCTTCCTGTGTCAGAGCGCTCAGGACAGTTCCCAGATGGACACCTCAGTGTGTGTGTGTGTGTGTGTGTGTGTGTGTGTGTGTGTGTGTTCCTGGAAGTATGGTAGGAGCTCCATGTCTTAGTAGCTCCTGGGGTGAGATCAGACCCTAACACGTAAACCCAGGAAGTGGGGAAGCACCAGGTAGGCCTGGTTTCATTTACCTCTGGGGCCCGAGAGGAGCCAGGGACAGCCTGAGAGGCTGGTGGGGCCCCAGCATTCCAGGTGGGGGAAAAAACTACAGACCAAACAGCCAGCTCCTCCGTCCCCCATCCCTCCCAAAGCCTGCAGCCCGTGGGCCCTCCTCCCAGCTCTCCCAGGCTGTGTTTGTCTGCAGGATTTAAGTCAACGGACCATGTGTATAATCCCATCATTAGCATTTTATCTGCTGGAAGTCCAACTGCCATCCCCCTCTGCTCCCGGGGTGCTGTGGAGCCAGGTAAGGGCTCCCACCAGGCCCAACTGTGGGGCCTTGGCCAGGGGGGCAGGGTGAGAGTGGGAAGGGAAAGAGGAGTGAAGGCAGAAGGGCCACCGGGGGACATCGGGCCAGACAGTGCGACTCCTAGGATGGAAAGGAGAAATGTAGGCAAGAGGAGCCCTGGGCTCCCGAGAACAGGGGCGACACAGCCTGGGACCCGCGAACCAGAGCACCCAGGCTTTCTCAGCCCTGCCATGTCATCCTGGCCGCATACTGGTGGGCAGGTTGAAACTCTCCCTGGGCCTCTGCTCCCTCATCAGAAGACAGGAGAACAGGAAACCTGCCCCACCCACCCTCAGAGCTGTCGAGAGGATTAAAGGAGATAATATAAGGGGGGTGCTGCAGCCACGCAACTGGAGGCTGTTGGGAAAGATAAAGTATAAGGTGACAGATGTCAGCCCAAGCCTGGGAGTGCTGTGGGAGCAGCTGTCTTTAGCCCACCTGCCTGCCTGGGGGCAGCGAGGGGGGAAACTCCCTGCACACCGACCATCTGGACGCTTCTTGGCCCTGTTGCCCTGAAGAGCTGAGCTGGTGGAGAGTGGCTGGCGGAGGAGGTTGGGATTCTTTACCTCTCCCTGCTTAGCCACCCCGCTGTGTCCCCAGCCCCTCCCAGCCCCAGGCACCACTAAAGTACTATCCATCTCCATATTGCCCATTCTGGGCATTTAATGTGAATGGAATCATGTATTATGTGGGCCTAATTTTTTTTTTTTTTTTTTTTTAATGATACACAGTCTGGCTCTGTCACCCAGGCTGGAGTGCAGTGGCGCTATCTCGGCTCACTGCAACCTCTGCCTCCCAGGTTCTAGTGAGTCTTCTGTCTCAGCCTCCCGAGTAGCTGGGATTACAGGTGTGTGCCATCATGTCTGGCTAATTTTGTATTTTTAGTAGAGACAGGGTT